CCACCTCTGGATCCACCAGGTGGGTCGGGTCAGTGCCCGTGGCGTCAGTCATCGCGGCTTGGCTGCGGGTGGTGACCATGGACAGCGTCGCCTCGGCGGATGGCTTGGATCGGCCCTACAGGGACCTGGAAACGGCCCGGTAGCTGGCCTGGGAACGGCCCTGAAGCAGGCCTGGGATCTGCCCTGCGGTTGGCCTGGGAACGGCCCTGATGCTGGCCTGGGAACGGCCCTGATGCTGGCCTGGGATCGGCCCACTCGCTGGCCTGGAAGCGGCCCTAATGGGGGCCAGGGATCGGCCCCGCTGGAAGCTGTGACGTCCGAAGAACTGACCAAACGGCCACTGCCGATGACAGGTGACCTTGGGGCTCTGGACGTCTTCTTCACGATGCTTAGTTCTAATAAGAACTAGTTGTGCCTGCACTCAGGTCTTGGACAGGATCGCTTCGGTGGAACACCAGGTGTCTGCCTCGGGTCCTCGACGCTGGTTTGTTCTTATAAGAACAAATTGTGCCTGTTCACAGGACTTGGGCAGGAACTGCTGGTGGTTGACCAGGTCGAAGAATAAAACAGTAGGTATGGTATAAGTCGACGGTTTGCTGCTTGAAACCAGGGGCACTGGTGTCTTAACTCTTGTCTAGCTCAAGAGGAACTGATTTGAAACGACTCGCGTCGTTTCTTTTATAGCCGAACGGAACCTCAGTCGTGCTCTGATTCGCCACGATGTGTGGCCAATCAGGTGCAAGCAGCGACTGAGGCCCGTTTGTATTGTATTGTATTGTGGCCTAAAATGCTGGGCTTTGGCCCGAGCAAGGGTCAGGTCAAGTTGGACCTTTTGCCCTTACTCTTTAATTGGAGTAGAAACTTAGCAGAAGTAGGGGATAGCGGTTTTGCCGTAAGGATTTTGGACTTTAAGGGTGGGTTTGGGTCCGCCAGCGGCCTAAATGCTTTTTATTTTTTTTTTTATTGTAGCTTTTTATCTCGCAGGGGGAAGGGGGCAAGAAGTCTATAATTAGGCATCTGTCCCCTTCGTCTGCTTGGACTAAGGTGTAATTAGTGTGGGCTCCTTTGTTTGTAAGATATTTGTTACTCTAGTTCACACACTACGTTATGGCAAGTTTTTAGTATTGAATGTTACGATGGAATTGGCTTTAGATTGAAATTGACTTTAGATTTTAGATTTGAGTTAGTTAGTTTAAGAAAAGTAGGATATGTTTTAAATGTAATTGAAATATGATTGACATTTGTTTAAGAGGTTGTAGCAAATTGAATTATGAGTTTTGGTTTAGGTGGTACCGCGGTTTAGAAATGAGTTGCATTGGTTTAGTTCAATAGGTGTTTGTGTGTGTGCATTATGAATTGAGATTTTTACTTACTTATTTGTAGCTTTAGAAATATGGGGAATATGTATTCCTTTATTTATAGTTGCTGGTACCACCCTTTGATTTGCTCAGAAGTTTTCTCTTTTTTTTTTCTTTTTTTCTCTTTTTGTTTGTTTTACTCTTGCTTTACTTTTCTTTCGTTATATTTTGAGTAAGTGATTTTGTACTTGTAAGTTAGCTAAGTTAAAGTGAGTAAAGCAAAAGTAAAATGTATGATGTAAAAATTTTAAAAAGGATTGGTTTTAGCTTAAGGCTAGGGATTGGGAAAGGTTCAGGTTGCTCAATCAGGTTCAATTCCAATGGTGCCTCTAATGCCCCTATAGAGCCTTCTATGGGCGGGGTCGTAACTTGTTGCCTCCCGTAGCGCGTCGTTTTCTATTTGGCTGATACGGATTAGGGCTGCCTTTGTTTGGTCTGCCAAATGTTTTTCTAAGGGTTTTAGTCCCAGATCGTCCCTTATTAAGGAGTTCCTGACAAACCAGGGTGCCGCAGTGATGGCTCTCAAGTATTTATTCTGGAGTGTCGCCAGTGACTTTTTGTGGGATTTTGCGGCAGTGGCCCAAGCAGGGCAGGCGTACGTGGCCACTGGCCTCAGAATTGCGGTCCATATCAGTTTTTTGTTTTTAAGGCTCAACTTGGAGTTTGGGGCGCTTAGGGGTCGTAATGCGGCCATCATTCCCTTCACTTTGTCTCTGGTGTTTTGAAGGTGTGTGCTCCAAGTAAGTTTCTTATCCAGAGTAACCCCCAGGTATTTAGCAGTATCCCTCCATGGTACTTCCTCCTCATCGAACTCAAGTGGCTCTGGGACGATTTTGCCCTTATGAAAGATTATTGCCTGAGTTTTTGTGGCATTTATTTTAACTCTCCACTTTGTGGCCCATGCGCCGATGTTTTCTAGAGCGAGTTGCAGGTCGGCTCTCACCTTCCTTAATTTTGAGCTTTTGCAGTAAATGGCGGTGTCATCTGCGTAGAGGGCAAGTTCCACGTTTGGCGTGCGGGGGAGGTCGGTCATGAACAGGTTGAACAGGGTAGGTCCAAGGACCGACCCCTGAGGTACTCCGGCTGTTATTGGTCTGATCGTGGAACTTGCTCCCAGATGGCTCACGAAAAAGGAACGCCCAGTGAGATAAGAGGCTGTGAGCTTAACCAGTGGGGGATGAATGTTTAATTGGGCCATTTTGGCTAGCAGACCCACATGCCAGACCCTGTCGAAGGCCTTGCTGATGTCCAGTAAGACCATTCCTGTTTTTTGCTTCAGATCGAAGGACTTGTGTATGTATTCTGTTATCCTGAGAATCTGGAGTTCGGTCGACAGTTGGGCGCGAAAACCGAACTGTTCATCCGGTATTAGAGACTTATCGGAGATTTCATCATTTAGCCTGTCTTTGATAATTTTTTCCAGGAGCTTGGACAGGGTCGGCAGGAGTGATATTGGCCTGTATCCTTCCACCGATGTTTTTAGTTTGCTTTTAGGGATCATGATAACTTTGGCCGTTTTCCATGGCTTCGGGAAGTGGCATCTTTTTAGTGCGCCGTTAAAGATGTTTTGTAGATTTTCCAAAATGTTTTCTGGTAACATTTTTAGGGCTTTGTTTGAGATGGAGTCGTCGCCCGGGGCTGTTTTGGTCTTGAGATATTTGATTTTGAGTTTTATTTCCTCTATTGTTGTTGGTGGGATATTGGATTCTTGCGGAGTTTGTAACGAGTTTATTACTTGCTCCATCATCTCAGTGTCATCCATGGCGTGTCTTTGGTGGCCTGGGTTTGGCGAGAATTGGCTTTCAAGGTGGGTGGAGAAACACTCTGCTTTTTCTTCTGTGGAGTAGAGCATGCCGTTTTCGCCTTGGAGCGGGTGAATCTGGCTTGGCTCTTTGTTTTTGAGGCATTTAATTATTCTCCACATATTTTGGTCTCCAGTTTCCATGTTTTCCAGTTTTTCCTGCCATTGCCCATTTCTATGTTCTTCAAGTGCCAGTTTCGTCTCGTATGCCAGTCTGTTGTAAGCTCTTTTATCGCCCAGGTCCAAGGTTCTTTGGGCTCTTTTTTTTTGCTCTTCTTTTTTCTGCAATTTTAGTAGGGAGTCTGGGATGGAGTATAGGCAGCTTGTTTTTATTTTCTTTGATTTGGTTGCATTGATGACTGCGTCTTGGATTTTCTTGGTGATTTCGGCCGCCTGTTGGTCAATGTCGTTTGCACTGCATTTTTCTGGGAAAGGGGCTTTGTCCTGGGCCAGGGCGGATGTGAAAGCAACCCAGTCTATGGTTTTTATTACCTTTTGGCTCTCTTCTGCTTGGTATGGCCCTAGAGTTATAATTACTGGGTTGTGGTCTGAGGTGGTACTTGTATGCGTGTCGGAAGTTATGTTGTGGTGGTAATTTTTGGTAATCGCTATGTCGAGCACATCTGCGAGGCGCCAGTCCGAGTGGGTGGGTTCTTCCGGCCCATAGACGTCCCAGGATTTTTCCTCAGCCAGCATGTATAATTTTCGCCCGTTAGTGTTTACTCTGGTGCTGTTCCAGTGGGTGTGCTTGGAGTTAAAGTCCCCAAGGAGGAAAGTGGGCAGGTCCTCTTGCATAGTATCCTTAAAGTCCTGGATCGGGAAGATGTGGCCAGGGGGCAAGTATCCGGCGATGATTTTAATTTTTCCCGCGAAACGGCTGTCAACATATACCGCTCCCACTTCTAGCGTGTTTGTATGGTATGATTTGGCTAGAACGTGCGACAGGTTTCTTTTGATCAGCAGGAGTGTTCCACCTCCTCCATTTTCCGCGATACGCAGGAAGCTGTATGTCATATAGCCAGCAATCTTTAATGTGAAACTATTTTTAATCCTGGTTTCCGTGATTGCCACGATGTCCGGGTTAAATTCGGCTATCAAGAGTTCCAGTTCCTTTTTTTTTGTTTTAATGCCGTTTGCGTTCCAGTTTATTAAGACTAGGCCATTTGGCTGGGTTTTGGGGGACTTGTTTTTATCCATTTAGCTGGGTGTGTGAGTTTTGACCTAAGGTGATGTTAGAGTTCTTTGCTAGTTGGAAAAGGAGGCTTTCCTGGCTTGCTAACCTGTTGAGGACGGTGGAGAGTGTCTGCATAACTGCACTGAGTTCTTGATTTGCCTGCGGTTGGTTCTGGTTTTGGTTTTGTGCCGTTGCGTGGGAGCCCAGTGCCTGGCTGTAGGAGAGGCCAGGGTGAGTATCGTGTCTGGTTTTGGATTGGCTTTGTTGTTGCGGTTGCGCTTTCTTCACGGTGTTTGGGTTCCGCGGGCAGATTGGCGCGTTTGCCGTGTGATTTCCTCCGCAGTTTGCGCACCTGAGCTGGTTTGACTTTGGACCAATTTGACACTCTCTTGTGTCATGGTCTTCAGCGCACTTAAGACAGCGTGGTTTCGCCGTGCACTTTGTCTGGGCGTGCCCGAACTTCTGGCACCTATAGCACTGACCTATGCCTGTGCTGCGTCTTAGGGTCTCGATTTTGATGCGCATGCTGCACAGGGTTTCCAGTTCGTATATTGTGGTCTGGTTTTTGTCCAGTTTTACCAGAATTAGGGGCATCTCCTTTCTTTCTGCTCCCTTTTTTAACCTAACTATTGTTTTTGGTGAAAAACCAGCATTTTTAAGTTCTTCTTCAGCTTGTATGTGAGGTCTCTTCATCTGTTTCCATGATATTGGATTGATTGGCTTCTTGGCCTGGCATGGATTGAATAAGGGTCTCCATCTGTGTCTGTAAGTTTGCTATCTGTTTGGACTGGTCTTTCAGCATTTGAGACTGGTCGGTTATCTGTGCTGATAACGTTTCCACCAGTTTTGTCAGCCTTTCGTTCTCTTTGTTTAATTTGTCGTTTTGTTGTTCTAGTAGGCAATATTTTATGTCAAAGCCTGTGCCTATTTCTTTTGAGGCGGGTTGGGGATGGTTTGCCGCAGTGGCCAGGCTGGTAATAGCGCTTTCCACCCGCGGGGACACCTTAGTTACTGTTACAGGAATTTCCGTGATCGTTTTCCTTCTTTGTTGGTCTTTTTCCTTTTTGTCTCTGTCTTTTGATTTTGATTTTGGTTTTCTGTGTTTTTGCTGAGTTTTGTCCCCTTGTGGGGATCTTTGTAACATGCTAGATTTCGCGAATGCTTTATTCGCTTCGTCAGAGACTAGGTCTAGTGTGGGGAAATTTTTACCCGCAGATGCGGATTCGTCAAGATTTTCGAAGAAATTAAAAGTTTCCATCGTAATATTTTTGTTGGGAAAAGCTTGTGCTATAGAGAGCACAGTTTTTGGCATTTGGGCAAATTAACACTCTGTATAAGGTGTTTGTCGATAAAATTGTACTTTTGGTTGTACAGGGCTTTAATAGTACGGGACGGTGCACGAGGTTTTGAATTTGGCCCAAGTGGGCGTGGCCAGAGTAAAAATGTTCTAGGCCAATGGGAAGCCGTATAGGGGGGGCGTGTCCGAGCCGAGCTTATAAATATAAGCGCTTGCAATCGACTGTAGCACTCACAGCGCGGCGGCCGAAGGCTACGGAACTCGATTTTTGGATGAAAATTCTTAAAATACACTTATGGAATGACACTAATACGTGGCATAAAATAATCACACAAAAATATTTCATATAAAACAGAATTGCATAAATCGATTAAAATAGGTAAAATATGAATTAAAAACACTTTGCATAAATAGATAAATAGGTAAAAATTCAGATAAAATGGCAATGGGCCAATTAAAATTTAAAAAATGGTACAATGTATATGGACAGGGACAAACATAGTATCACTAACCTCATGCACAGTAGAAACAAAGATAAACAAAAACTTGGGGCTCAAAACAAAAAACGAAGCATATGGGGACCGGCGCCTACTCGGTCCAGCGCCGGTTTATCCTGTTTGCTTGTTAAAAAATCTCAAAAGCACAATAAAATATTACGAAACGTACGACAGTAAAATCAGTTGTAGAATGAGGCCCGTTTCGACAACGCTTGTTGTACTCGATCGTTTGGTACGTACGAAATCGTAGAATCGCCCGTCACCAACATCGGTATTCTTCCGGGTTGGTTCTCTAATACGATGGTTGCATCCGAGGATGGCGGGGAAAGTGGACCTGGGGCTACGAGGTCCGCCTCGTCGACGATGCTGTCTTCGGCCTCATGGAAGTGGTCAACCTCCTCGGTGACCACTGGATTGGAAGCGGCGACGCCCTCTGTAGCTGGTTCCGACATCTGGGTTTGTGACCGGGTCAGTACCATAAGCAACGGCTATGGTTGGCCTGGGAACGGCCCGTAGTATGGCCTGGGAGCGGCCCTGCGACTGGCCTGGGAGCGGCCCTGCGACTGGCCTGGGATCGGCCCTGCAACTGGCCTGGGATCGGCCCTGCTGACGGCCTGGAAGCGGCCCTGCGACTGGCCTGGGATCGGCCCACTCGTCGGTCTGGAAGCGACCCTGCTGAGGGCCAGGAATAGGCCCTGCTGGATACTCCTCTTGTTCCACTAGGTGTCTCGTTCGGGGCCACTGTCGAAGACCAGTGACCAAAGCACACGTCGTGGAAATAATCCTTACAAGGACTGATTGCCCCTCCTGAGGACTTCGAAGCGAAGCAGTGAAGTTTCTCTTAGGGGTAGCTCTGACAAGAGCCGTGTTTTGCCTGTGCACCAGGTCTTTGGAATGAAACACCAGAGTAGCTTGTGAAGACGGTTTGCTATAGGCCACCAGTTAGCTGGGGGCTTGTCGAATCTTGGCTCAAGTGTCACTTGAGGTATCTCGATGATGACTGACTTGAACGGTGCTCGGACCGTTCTTATATAGAAACGCGGACCTCAGCCGTGCTCTGATTCGTCCCGATGTTTGACCAATCAGAGACGAACAGCGACTGAGGCCCGTTTCGACATGCCCCCCTGGTTTTTTAAACAAACCGTCAAGATTTATTTAAAAAAATTCAGGTAAATAACAATAAACTTTGGATTTTTACAAAAATAAATGTTCGTACAGAGTTTTCGCGCACTTGCATTGTTTTTTGAGCACTGCACTTACTCTGCTATTTCACTTATTGCACTTGTCTTGGGATGGGCCTGATGTCGTCTACGTGAAGTGGAACTGCTCGGCCATCCGTTCTAACTTCGTATGTCACCGGCGAAATCCTTCTGACGACGGTGAATGGGCCCTTCCAAGGGTCGCCGAAGTTGGTCTTTTCGTGGTTTTTGATTAAAACCTCGTCCCCCGCTTGGAACTGCACCGGAACGTGAGCTGGATCGCCCACGTATTCTCTGGCGAAGATTTGTTTCCTTCGGCGGAGTTGTCCATCATGGTTTTCCCTCGACTGTTGGACCTCCTGGGCTCGGGGAATGAGCCAATCGCCGGGCTGGCGGGGCTCGTAGCCAAGGAACGCCTTGGCTGGTGTCTCCCCTGTGGCACGGTTGACTCGTCCTCGAAGTATCCCTGTGGCTCGTGGTAGAAGTTCATACCAGGGGGCTCGTGGATTGGTTTTCATCAGTGCTCGAATGATTTTTTTCGTTTCTTGCACCTGTCTCTCCACGGGGTTGGCCCTTTGGTGATAGGCCGCTGCGTTGACCATCCGGATACCCAGTTTTCTGCAATATCGTTCCCATTTCGTGAGTGTGAACTGGGAAGCGCAGTCAGCTACGATGATTTCCGGAACTCCATAACGCAGGAACAATCCATCCAGCACGGCGGTGATGGTTTCGTGACGGGAGTCTTTGACTGCAGTGGCTTCTGTCCATTTTGTCAAAATATCTTCTACAATCACAGCGTACTCGGGTTCGTTTCCATTTCCTCGGTAGCGGCCCAGCGTGTCGATGGATATCATCTGCCAGGCCTTGGTCGGGGAGTGGGTTGTCATCGGGGCTGCCTCTTGGATGTTTCTACCCTTGATTTGTCGGCAAACTAAGCAAGCTTGCACGTATCGCTTAATTTGGGCCCCCATCCGGTCCCAGTAGAAACGTCCGTCGATGGCTCTAGTTGTCTCCTTCTGACCAGGGTGTGCCCCGGCGTCGCTGGCGTGGAAATGGTCCAGGATCTTCTGTCGCATCCCCTCCGGCACGTAGATTCGACAAGATCCGTCTTGTCGACGTTGGAACAGGTTATTTGTGGCTGACACCAGGAAGTTGGCCACCAGGCTGCGGTCGGTGTCGTCCTGGGGTCCATCCTCTTCAGCCCGTTTGATCCGGCGTACCAATCCCTGGGTAACGTTGTCCACCAGTTGCCCGTTCAATACCTCTTGTATCAGAGGTTCATCCTGGACGGCACAAACTTCGGGTGTAGGGATCAGCTCGTCGTACTGGACAGCGGGGCCCTCCTTGCATTCCACAGCATTCCTGGACAAGTAGTCGGGCAGTTGGTTTGTCTTCCCTGGTACATGTTCGAGGTGGAACGAAAATTCCTGTAGCAGTAGTGACCACCTGGTCAGCTTGGCCCTGTCGTCTTTGTGATTTTGCAACCACACCAAAGCCCTGTTGTCCGTCCTGATGGTAAAATGCTGATCCTCGAGGTACGGCCTGTACCTCCTGACGGCCCAAACCATCGCCAAGCATTCCTTTTCATTCACGTGGTACTGTTTCTCGGCCTTGTGGAATTTCGAGGAACTGAAGTGGATTAAATGCTTGGCACCTTCTGGATCCTCTTGCATCAGAACGGCGCCCATGCCTTCTTCCGACGCGTCGACCTGGAGGACGTATTTCCAGTCACGGTGGGGACGTTCTAACTTCTGCGGTTTCTCCAAAGCCGTTTTCGTCTTCTTCCAGCTATCTTCGCACGCCTCTGTCCATCGGAACTTCTCGTTGCCAGTCAACTCGGTCAGCGGTGCTGTCATCGTGGCCAAGTCTGGAATATACCCACGCAACCAGTTGACCAATCCTAGGAACGCCTGCACCTGTCGCTTGTTCCGTGGTTTCTCGAAGTTTTTTATCTTCTGGAGATGACATTCCCTGGCCCGCGTGAACTTCCCGTCCACTTCGTACCCCAGATATGGTAGCCTCTGCGTAGCGAGCTTGCATTTATCGGGGTTGAGTCGAAGCTGGTGGACCTCTATTCTTTCCATCACGCGCTGGAGATGTTCTAGATGCTCCTCATAGCTTTCAGAATAAACTATGACGTCGTCCAGGTACACTTTTACAAAGCGGTTCAGCATCCCGGCGAAGATTTCGGTCATCGCCCGCTGGAACGTAGCTGGAGCGAGCTTCAGCCCGAATGGCATGGCAACAAACTGGTATTGCCCTCCAGAAGGTGTGAAGAACGCCGTGTACTTCTTGGACCCTACTTCCATCGGTAGTTGCCAGTATCCGCTTGTCATGTCCAAGCTGGAGAATACTTTTGCTTGCCCCAGGTCCCGGACTGTTTCAACTATAGGCGGCAACATGCTGATCACGTCGGCGGTCCTCTTATTGAGCTCTCGGAAGTCGACGCAGAAACGCCACCCGGCCGTTTTCTTCACCAGCACCACTGGCGAGGCGTAGGGTGAATTCGACGGCTCGACGATCCCTCCTTGCAGCATTTGTTCCACAGCTTGTTCAATTTCTGCTGCTTTCTCTGCTGAGTACCTCCTTGGGCTGGTGCGGAACGGCGTCTTATCATGGAGTTCAATTCTATGGGACCGCAACACCTGGGAAGGCGGCCGCATCTTATTGCTGAATGAACCCCGGTGCGCCCGCACCAGGTCCTCGATCCTCCGGCGGAGGTCCTTCGGGACGTCACCAGGTACCTCAGGAAGCCGGACGGCCCCCTCGTCACGTTCTGGATCCTCCTCGGGCCTCCAGAACAACGCCAATCTCTCTCTCTTCCCTAGGTACACGCACCCCCTGGCGACGTCCACGAGTGCTTGCTGTGCTTCTAGGAAATCCATGCCCAAGATGACTGGATATGGTAGACTGCCAACCACGTGCATGGTGTGCACGTACGACTGCCCTCTGATTCGGAAGTGGACCTTGGAATGGCCCAACGCTTGCAGCTGGGCTTCCCCGACGGTCCGGATCTTCTTGGTGGCAGGTACGTAGTCATCTGCGTAGGCTAGGTCCAACAAAGTGATGCTGGCGCCGGTGTCCACCAACGCCTTCGCCGTTTGCCCGTGAATTTGGACGGATATCACGGGCGGGCCCATTCCCTCAGGAACCATGTTTACTTCGGCGGAGAGGTGCTTTTCTCGGCACCTCTCCTCTGGTAGTTTTCCGACGGCGTAGTGGAATCCTTGAAGCGTATCTGGGTAGCCCGGTTGAAGTCGCAGGCACGCAAGTCAGTTTCCAACGCGCGTGCAC